CTCTACAAAGTCCCATCTCCCACGCCACGGCTCCCTCTTCTACGGGCGTTACCACTCTAGCAATACAAAAGACATGCATCCTCTTGGCCCACTCCTCCGACTCATCCACTTCATCCAGTTGATGACATGGATCTAAAAAACCGAATCATGGGTTCCATGATATCGCACGTGAGGAAGGTGCGAGAATCGAAGACATGTAACAAAACGAGATGAGGAGATGGGAATGATAGGTAATGGGAGGATAGCGAAAATAAGTGGGAGACGGCGTAAAGAGGGAAGCAAGGGATGATGGCGAAAGTGAAGGGAATGGAAGAGAACGGGAATAGAAACTGCAGGAATAACGTTTGAGATGTCATCAAAGACAAGAGGGTGGGCATGGATGGGTCGGGGAGGAGGGGACAAAGTTGGCGTCCACATACCGCGAATATGTTTTGGGGGCCATTGGCATGGAAGAGGTTACGGACCGAGCTCGTGAGTGTAGTCTCGATAACTGTAGGAAAATGGGATGATGTGTATCTTTTAGGTGGAATTCACAATGTCAATCTTGAGATAATGGGGACGAGAACTTGCAATCAAATTAGGCAATGAAATACAGAAATTACAGACTCACCAAGCGGCATAACCTCTGTGTCCACAATGTCAACAGAGGGGAACTCGCTGCACGAAAGACCCTCGGCCGACTCCCGAATGTATTCGTTGCAAATGCTCTCCCGTACGTCATGTGTAGGATGCGGATCGAAGTCAAAAAGAGTGTCAATATCCACCCACTTGATGTCCAGCACTCGAGAAACATCCTCTACTCCTCCTCCTTCTCTGTGCCCCTCTCCACACCCCTCTTCATTTCGCGCCTCCACTCTCTCTCCTCCCCCCCCCCCCCCGTTGGCTCGATCTCCACTTCGACCCCCCCTTCGTGCCCCGAGACCCGCCGTCGCTTGGGCGGACGTTGTGTCGCTTTCGTCCTTATTGTTAAGACCTTCCGCATTTCCATGAATGCCCACTTGGCCGGTGCCTTGGCCGTATCATCAAACTTGATCGTCCCCAGTACCTCGCAGACCTTTTTTATGATCGTTTTTTTCGCGGAAGCTGCAGTCACCCGTCCAAGATCCCCTTCACTCGATGTCAACCACTCCCACAAATCCTTTTGTGTTAATTGCCACAAATCGGAACAAGTCCTAGCCCCCGAAACGTTCATCGGGCTGCGCTGTGCCTCCACAAAATATTTCACAAACAACCTCACTAGTGCTCGACATTTATGCCAGGTGTCCATCTGATGGTTCAGACCTTTCCCCTTTATCACTCTCTTGAACGACCCGCCATCGTCCGAAATGATGCCCGTAAATTTGAACCCCCAGTCGTTCAGTTTTTGCAAGCCGGCTCGGAATGCTATCTCCTCTAACTTAGTAGACGACACCCCTGCCTCAGTTTTTGAAATCGTGACAGTCAACAGTATCTTCCGTGACCGCGGGTCCATGAACGTAACAGTGCACCACTTCCCCTCTCTAGCCTGTGACCACCGACCATCCACGCATATGTACCCAACGACGTCGCTATCTCGCAATTGCATGTCCCGTCTGACTTTTGCCATGCAATCCTCACCATGTACTATGATGGCTTCCCACAACCCGAATGGACGCCGCATGTAACGATAGAACGTCTCTCTCCCAATAGATTTGAATCCAAGGGTCCGGCTAACCTCAGACATCTGCTGGAAGCCCAGTCCGGCCATAACGAAAGCGCCCAAAAAACGGGGTAGTAAAAAACTAGTCTTAGGACCCTGTTTGTTGGGCTTCCTTGTGACTTTACCCCGCTTGGTAGACCATAATTCCATGGCCTTGGAGCAGGTATCACATACCCATAAGACCCCAAATGTTGCCCATGTCACCTTCCACGACCGCAGCTGCATCGATCCCTTGCATGCGGCTCGTTGACAGCATATTACCCCGAGACTCATGAAAAACTGAAGCAAAACAAGAGGTTCTAGCAAACATACCGCTCCTTTGAGCGCTGTTGCGGCGGCAGCTGGCGGCAGCCGCCAGATGCGTGACAATCGTTTTGGGAGTGTTGGGCCAGGGCTCTCTGCAGTTGGGCTGTAAAGGGGTCGAAACATGAAGAGGAAAGAGGTTTACTAGCACGGTATTGCGATACAATTGGATGTATGGTGGTGCCGAATGTGGGAGATCTTAAACTCATGCTGCATCTCCGCACACTAAAATAGCTATATATGGCAGCATGATTACGTACTCGTCACGCTGCGCTTGGATGATCGCAGGAATCACTGGTGGCCTTGTTTGATCCCCCCAAAAAGGTCCCGCGTCCGAAGTGCCTTCCCCTCCTGCAACCTCGTTCCGTTCCTCCACCAAGTGGCTAACCTCTTGAGCTGCTTCTTGGATCCGGCCCTGGTCCAGGCCACCTTCTTCACACAACCTATCCCCCTCAATGGTCTGCTGTTCGACCCCTAGAGCACCTCCACTTCCCTCTCCCCCCTGTCCCGTCTCATCTTCATCTTGCGCCTCCACGACCTCGGTATTAACCCCCGTATTTGCCGTTCCCCCAATTGGTAAATCTCCTTCCTCTGACAATGCAGCGTCTCCACTGACATGCATGGTGTTGTTTGCTGGTGTAACAATGTGGGGTGAGGGATAGACAAAATCATGACACAAGCGAGTGTGTTCCGCATAGTGGTGATCCCACCGGACTCTATCTTCGGGGAAAGACTGGCAACATGATGGCACGTAACAAAAACGCTGTTTTGATGTGCGGTTGGGTTGATGTTCGCGGTGGTTACTTGTGTGTACAGTGGTGCGTACCTCCATCCCGCAAAGCTCGATATGCCGCCCCACGGCGGTCCCCTCCATGACCATGGCCCTTATCCGGAACCACCACACCCTTTGAGTTCAGATGATATGTGTCGAACTGGTACGTGTAGCGGCTTGTAGAAAGTGGTGTCCGTTCGAGCAAGTGCTGCACGACCGTCTTCTCCCCCACTTGGCTCAGTGAGAAGCATGATCGCTGAGCATCAAGGTGCAGTTGGACTTGGTCCTTCACCGTCGTTGCATCCTCACCTAGCGTGCAACACGAAAGTAGATCAAATCCCCCATTATGGATGATTGATGAACGCTATCAGCGACCTATTATTGTATGCATAACATGTTTTCTCCCCAAGTCTGTGTGGGCTGGGGAAAGGGCGGTCTAGAGGGCACGATATCGACCACCGATTGATGGTGGGGAGCGGTCAACAATGGAGAGTAGTGAGGGTGTGATAATGGTGTGTGTGGCATATGTAAGCAGTGCAAGTTATAGGCGTGGTCTGGTGGTGGTGTATGTGAGGTTGGGGAAGGGAGGGTTACGGCTGCAAGGATTGGAGGGACGGCTCTGAACGGTAACATAGGCGTGTGCTTACATGAATCCGTTGCTGCATTGATTAGCTTGCTGACGACATCGGGTGAGGACGTCACGAGAACGTGCATTAAGTCGTTGAAGGGCGCCTCCCTCCCCAATAGCTTCGACAGACCGCATCGCATGATTGCAACAGGTAGGGTCGCGTGTGTCCCGATGCTAACCATCTTCTGCGGGTGCTTTTTCATGATGGAATTCAGATGTTTCTCCATGTCTCCGCTCACACCGTTGTTCCCACTCCCCATGCAGACCTTATTGGCTCCACGCACCTGAGACGTCACAATGAAAAACACGATACTTGGACATGGTGAGTTAGTAGACTATTCCCCCCTGCTAGCAAACTATCACCTCTACCGCACTAGTTCCCTCTATTTCCCCCCACTAGCAACTCACACACTCACGACTAGTTCCCTCTACTCCCATATGCTACATATGTACATCTCAGTCACCCTCGTGAGTCTTGAGTCCTCACTCAGGTTACGTGGTTACCACGTGTTTACCAGCTTGCCACCGCACAGCACACCAAAGACCCATAACCAACTTACAGCTCGGTCTGCCTCTTGACTTTAGAGTTAGCGCTTGGCAGGCTCGAGCTGAGCAAGTTGAATTCGAGATTGCTGTTGCAACAGGAGCAAGCATGGTTTGGGAGGGTGGAGAGGGATGGTGAGCGTGTGGGAGGGCGGAAAATCTGAAGGGCCCCCATCAATGTAGACCGGTTATCCAGGGAATTAGTGGTTGTTGCTTTGTGATAATACTCAAGACTCGACACATTGCCTTATCTCCATGCCCATCTGTCAATGTGATAGCGAGAAGAAAATATTCGTTCACACAAAATATCAAATACATACACTGAGAAGGATGACTAGGAACGCACTGGTGCTCACACCAGTAAGCGATTGGGATGGTATTTCACATAAGAACATTTAGTGCGTACCCAAAACAGCCAGTTACAGTATGAGACTTCTAGCAACACACGTGACTCTGATACGGCCTTGGCAGGTTGAGATGTGCGCGACACCCATAATACAATCACATGTGATACAGTCACGTACGCAACAGTCACGTGCACACATTAGTTCATCTATGGCCTGGCCTTACTATAGGGTCGATCCAAAAGTCTTTCACAGTTCACTCAAGAGTGACAGCATTCGACTCATAAGTCACACCTAGCGTGTGACCTCACATCTCAAATCAAAACAGGTTGTACAGTCATCTGGCTAAGCCGTGGGATCGCTGTTAGGAGGGGGACAGAGAGCGGCAGGGGGGTGATGTGGGTGAGGGGAACGGATAGCAGGTTGCCGGCATCATAGACTGCGCGCGTGGGGAGAGAGGGGGGCGAGGGACGAGAAGGGAGTGTAGCGTTTCGATCTTTGGTCGCCTCAAAGGCATGGCAGTTCAGGAGTACAGCAAGGCATCGACCTTGTTGTGAGATCGATCACTGCGGGCGTGAGGAGAGGGAGAGGAGTGGGCGGAATAGGGGATGGAGAAAGGGCGAGTGATGAGCTATGAGGCGCCCAAAAAGGTTTTGTGAGGGGGGAGAGGGATGGGGGGGTTCTGGTTGCCATTGATAGCGCTGCGGGAGTGGGGAGAGAGATAGAGAGAAGATGGGCAAAGGGTGGGGTGGGGAGATGAGGGATGGGGAGAATGGGGACGGGGAGATGAGGGATGGGGAGGAGAGGGTTGGGAGGTGAGGGATAAGCAGAGGAGGGATGGGGAGGAGAGGGATTGGGAGGTGAGCATGGGGAGATGAGGGATGGGGAGAAGAGGGATGGGGAGATGAGGGATGGGGAGATAAGGCATGGGGAGAGGAGGGATGGGGAGATGAGGGATGGGAAGATGAGGGATGGGGCGATGAGGGATGAGGGGACGAGGCATGGGGAGATGAGGGATGGGGAGGTGAGGGATGGGGAGATGAGGGATGGTAAGATGAGGGATGGTTAGATGAGGGATGGGGACATGAGGGACGGGGAGAAGAGGGATGGGGAGATGAGGGATGGGGAGGTGAGGGATGGGTAGGAGAGGGTTGGGGAGGTGAGGGATAAGCAGAGGAGGGATGGGGAGGAGAGGGATTGGGAGGTGAGCATGGGGAAATGAGGGATGGGGAGAAGAGGGATGGGGAGATGAGGGATGGGGAGATAAGGCATGGGGAGAGGAGGGATGGGGAGATGAGGGATGGGGAGAAGAGGGATGGGAAGATGAGGGATGGGGCGATGAGGGATGAGGGGACGAGGCATGGGGAGATGAGGGATGGGGAGGTGAGGGATGGGGAGATGAGGGATGGTAAGATGAGGGATGGGGACATGAGGGACGGGGAGAAGAGGGATGGGGAGATGTGGGATGGGGAGATGAGGGATGGGGGGATGAGGGATGGGGAGATGAGGGATGGGGGGACGAGGCATGGGGAGATGAGGGATGGTAAGATGAGGGATGGGGACATGAGGGACGGGGAGAAGAGGGATGGGGAGATGTGGGATGGGGAGATGAGGGATGGGGGGATGAGGGATGGGGAGATGAGGGATGGGGGGACGAGGCATGGGGAGATGAGGGATGGTAAGATGAGGGATGGGGACATGAGGGACGGGGAGAAGAGGGATGGGGAGATGTGGGATGGGGAGATGAGGGATGGGGGGATGAGGGATGGGGAGATGAGGGATGGGGGGACGAGGCATGGGGAGATGAGGGATGGTAAGATGAGGGATGGGGACATGAGGGACGGGGAGAAGAGGGATGGGGAGATGTGGGATGGGGAGATGAGGGATGGGGGGATGAGGGATGGGGAGATGAGGGATGGGGGGACGAGGCATGGGGAGATGAGGGATGGTAAGATGAGGGATGGGGACATGAGGGACGGGGAGAAGAGGGATGGGGAGATGTGGGATGGGGAGATGAGGGATGGGGGGATGAGGGATGGGGAGATGAGGGATGGGGGGACGAGGCATGGGGAGATGAGGGATGGTAAGATGAGGGATGGGGACATGAGGGACGGGGAGAAGAGGGATGGGGAGATGTGGGATGGGGAGATGAGGGATGGGGGGATGAGGGATGGGGAGATGAGGGATGGGGGGACGAGGCATGGGGAGATGAGGGATGGTAAGATGAGGGATGGGGACATGAGGGACGGGGAGAAGAGGGATGGGGAGATGTGGGATGGGGAGATGAGGGATGGGGGGATGAGGGATGGGGAGATGAGGGATGGGGGGACGAGGCATGGGGAGATGAGGGATGGTAAGATGAGGGATGGGGACATGAGGGACGGGGAGAAGAGGGATGGGGAGATGTGGGATGGGGAGATGAGGGATGGGGGGATGAGGGATGGGGAGATGAGGGATGGGGGGACGAGGCATGGGGAGATGAGGGATGGGGAGATGAGGGATGGGGACATGAGGGACGGGGAGAAGAGGGATGGGGAGATGTGGGATGGGGAGATGAGGGATGGGGGGATGAGGGATGGGGAGATGAGGGATGGGGGGACGAGGCATGGGGAGATGAGGGATGGTAAGATGAGGGATGGGGACATGAGGGACGGGGAGAAGAGGGATGGGGAGATGTGGGATGGGGAGATGAGGGATGGGGGGATGAGGGATGGGGAGATGAGGGATGGGGGGACGAGGCATGGGGAGATGAGGGATGGGGAGATGAGGGATGGGGACATGAGGGACGGGGAGAAGAGGGATGGGGAGATGTGGGATGGGGAGATGAGGGATGGGGGGATGAGGGATGGGGAGATGAGGGATGGGGGGACGAGGCATGGGGAGATGAGGGATGGGGAGATGAGGGATGGGGACATGAGGGACGGGGAGAAGAAGGATGGGAAGATGAGGGATGGGGCGATGAGGGATGGGGAGATGAGGGATGGGGAGATGAGGAATGGGGGGACGAGGCATGGGGAGGTGAGGGATGGGGAGATGAGGGATGGGGAGATGAGGGATGGGGAGATGAGGAATGGGGGGACGAGGCATGGGGAGGTGAGGGATGGGGAGATGAGGGATGGGGAGAAGAGGGATGGGGAGATGAGGGATGGGGAGAAGAGGGATGGGAAGATGAGGGATGGGGCGATGAGGGATGGGGAGATGAGGGATGGGGAGATGAGGGATGGGGAGATGAGGGATGGGGAGATGAGGAATGGGGGGACGAGGCATGGGGAGGTGAGGGATGGGGAGATGAGGGATGGGGAGAAGAGGGATGGGGAGATGAGGGATGGGGAGAAGAGGGATGGGAAGATGAGGGATGGGGCGATGAGGGATGGGGAGATGAGGGATGGGGAGATGAGGGATGGGGAGATGAGGGATGGGGAGATGAGGAATGGGGGGACGAGGCATGGGGAGGTGAGGGATGGGGAGATGAGGGATGGGGAGAAGAGGGATGGGGAGATGAGGGATGGGGAGAAGAGGGATGGGAAGATGAGGGATGGGGCGATGAGGGATGGGGAGATGAGGGATGGGGAGATGAGGGATGGGGAGATGAGGGATGGGGAGATGAGGAATGGGGGGACGAGGCATGGGGAGGTGAGGGATGGGGAGATGAGGGATGGGGAGAAGAGGGATGGGGAGATGAGGGGTGGGGAGAAGAGGGATGGGAAGATGAGGGATGGGGCGATGAGGGATGGGGAGATGAGGGATGGGGAGATGAGGGATGGGGAGATGAGGGATGGGGAGATGAGGAATGGGGGGACGAGGCATGGGGAGGTGAGGGATGGGGAGATGAGGGATGGGGAGAAGAGGGATGGGGAGGTGAAGGATGGGGATAAGAGGGATGAGGAGGAGAGGGATGGGTGTACACGACGGAAGGGTCTTTAGCGTGGGCGACGGGAGGGGAGTTCGCGTGGGCAACGGAAGGGGAAACGCGCATGGGCGACGGAAGGGGGGATTGCGTGGGTCTCGGGAGGGGAGTTCGCGTGGGCGACGGAAGGGGAAACGCGCGGGGGGGATGGATGGGGAGTTCGCGTGGGCGACGGAAGGGGAAGCGCGCGTGGGGGACGGAAGGGGGGCTTGCATGGGCGACGGAAGGGGAAACGCGCGTGGGCGACGGAAGGGGAAACGCGCGTGGGCGATGGATGGGGAGTTCCCCCACGCGACGTGAGGGGAGTGAGCGTGGCGGCGGTAGGGGAGCTAGCGAAGGTGTCGGGAGGGGAGTGAGCGTGGCGGCGGTAGGGGAGCTAGCGAAGGTGACGGGAGGGGAGTGAGCGTGGGCGACGGGAGGGGAGTGAGCGTGGGTGACGGGAGGGGAGTGAGCGTGGGTGACGGGAGGGGAGTGAGCGTGGGTGACAAGAGGGGAGTACGCGTGGGCGACGGAAAGGGAAATGCGGACCTGTCGCAGGGGAAATGCGAGTGACGGGAAGGGAATATGTGCTCCGAGGGACTTGGAAATGCATGCGATACGGGAAATGCTAAATGCGGGCTTCGGAAATCGTAACCGCGCGCTACTGATACCTAAAATCACCCACTCCGGTCACTATCAATGCCGGCGATGCCGCGTCGCGCGGAAGGTGGGGAGTAATCTAATGTCAATGTCATGGATGGAGATATGCGGGGGACCTCATACGTCCTAAGGCATTTGCGCTTACTGGTGGGTACTCAGGTCGTTCCTCTCTCTTGATTATCTTCTTTGGCACGAGGGACGTTGCCTGTCTTGGTCGCTGTGCGTTGTACTAGTAGGAGAATAATTAGTGTTGCCGCTAATCAGGTGGTCAAGCGTGGGATGTTTGTCTAGTTCTGCTTGGGATGTTTATCTCAGGTTGTGATAACTTGTCTCAAATTTCATGGGAGCGCTGTAATGTGCTTGGTTTGCCTGTGGATGAAGTGTGCTGTGTGTTTTGGTGTCGCACGGAACCACAAACACGTCGTTGACCATCGTGTGGTGCATTTTCAGTCGCCTGCAGTGGTCGTGGAGCACAGGTTGGGTTTGGCAGCAGGGGTAGCAACACTGTAGCTCGCCAATTTGCACGTTCCCAACCACCCCCAAACCTGTACAGAGCGAAGGTGCTGTTTGGCGACAAGAGGCAGGGTTACTGGATATCAAGCATATTACACTTGGATGGGTGTTGTGAAATATGAGACGCGGGCTTTAACGCGGACAGAGGGTTCAGAGGCAGCACGCCAGGGTATTCAGGGGGGAAGGGAGCAGGGGGGAACGGCGCAGGTTGAGGGGCAGGGGGACGGGGCAAGGGGGAAGGGTCAGGGTAAGAAGCAGGGGAGGGGCAGGGGAAAGGAGCATGGGGGAGGGGCGCATGTTGAGGCGCAGGGAGGCGGGGAAGGGGAAATGGGCAAGGGAAAGGTGCAACGGGAAGGGGCAAGAGGGGTGTAAGGGGGGGACAGGGGGACGGGGAAATGAGAAGTGGCATGTGGGAGGGACAGAAGGGAGAGGCAGAGTGGGAGGGGCAAAGGGAAGGGGCAAAAGGTAGGGGCAAAAGGGAGGGGTAAAGCGGAGGGGCAAAGGGGGGCAGGGGAAGAGCAAGGGTAAAGAAATGGGGGAAAAGGGGGGGTGGAGGGGCAGAGGAAAGGCACAAGGTGGGGGGCCAAAGGGAGGGGAAAGGGGAAGCGACATGAGGAAAGGACAGGAAAAATGGCCAGGGGAGGAGAAAAGACAGGGGGTAGGGGCAGGGAGGGGGAAGGGGCAGTGGGGAGGAGCAGGGATGGGGAAGGGGCAGGGGGAGGGGCGGGTCGGAGGGGCAGTAGATGCAAAAGAAGCGCTAACATTGGGTTGCACGGCCACGGCAGCAACGACAAACGCCACGCCGCATGCCCTTATCTGCGCCTGCAGCTGACGATGTCCCCCCCCTTATCCGCACAATGCTTCTTCCCCCCGTTACCATGCCCTGCCGGCCCCCGTACTCGTTATTGCCCGTCCTGTTATAGGCTCCCTTGTCCAAAGTGCTATTCGCCTCGTCATGTCACTAAATACATCATCCGCGATACTGCTTCACCGATGCTAAATACATTGTCAACTCCTCCGACAGTCTTTTCCGCGGAACCCTCCATCGCCCGCCATCTCTCCGCCATTGCCGCTCCCCATCCTCATTCGATGCTGAAGCGGAGTCCGCTTCCCCCATTCGCGGCATTCGCGCTTCCCGTTTGAATCTCACAGTGGCGCCATCTGCTGCGTCATATACTCTAAGTCGGATTTTCCACTATAAGCTGATCGGATAAACGAACAGAACCACGGCGGGTTTGGCGGTACCTGCTAACTTAGAATCGCCGTTGCTTGAATCGCCTTATGAAGACCTAATTTCGCTTATACCGGATTGCCGCTGACGACCAAAGCACTAGGAGGTTCCATTTGTGAATGTTGCGGCGAGACGAAAACGGAAAGCTCAGGTGCGGAAAATATGTTTAGGCTGTTCCAGACTTGAAACGCGACACGACCTGAAAGCGTCGATTTAGGCTTATGCGGCACACCTCATTATGCGCCGATTCCGTTATGGTTAAAAATATTGATGTATTTGAAGTGCGGTTTACACCTTGAGAAATCTGGATATTGTTATCCCAAGCATGCCTGACACAAAGGGAAGAAGAAAATACAAACACTGAACTGAAATCCCACTCACACAACACTAATAATAACAAATAACCTCACAGAAACTATCAGGAGTAGGAAGACTGGCAAGTCAGTTGGTGTCCCTGCCTTTGCCAGCATTCCTGCCCCTGATGCTTTGGCCTGTCATAGGTAGCATGAACCAGAGCAAGCCTATCCAGACACACATGGCTCAGAAGCCCCATCACAACCACAACTGCAGCCTGCAAGGCTAGGTTCAAACCCCCAAACCCCGCAGCAGGGCGTATCATGCAGCAGCGGCGGGCATCTTGTCCCCCACTGACAAGACCCACAGGGACATGGTGCATTAAGCACCAGCAGCAGCAGCAGCGGGCATCTTGGCGCCCATGAGCTGCCCGCCCCACGTCACACCTGCTGCGCTGCTGCCCGCCAGCACAGCATACCCGCTCACTGCAGGCGGCTGCTGCGCTCCCCCCTGCTGCTTCTGTCCCCCCTGCTGCTGCCCCCCCTGCTTCTGTCCGCCCTGCCTGGCAGCGAGGCCGAATGCGCGCATCAGCAGCTCCCGCCCCATGCGCCTCCCGCCCTTCCCGTTCCGCGCGCCCCCCGTGCTGCCCCCGCTGGCGCTGCCTCCGCCGTTGCGCCCGCCGCCGCCGCTGGTGGGCGGAGGCGAGGCGGTGGGGAGCACGGCGAGCAGCGCGTCGAGGGTGGCGGCGTCCGCGTTCTCGAGGAACGCGTCGAGGCGCGCCTCCGCGTGCAGCAGCCACCACCCCGCGCGCTGCTGCCAGTCCGCCGCGGCGAGCGGCAGCGCGAGCACGTCCGTCGCGGCGGCGTCGCACACGGCGCCCTTCACGATCGCCAGCGAGTCGGGCGGACCGCCCGCCGCGTCCACCAGCACCGCCTCGACGAGCAGATTGTAGTTTCCGGTCGCGTTCCTAGAATGGGGGGCAGGGGACGGGACGAGGGGAGAAGCAATGAGCTCGACGAATTAGAAGCTGAGAAGCCGCACAGTCTACTGAGAAGAATCTGGGTAGACCGTGAAACCGAAGCGAGAGGGTGCGTGCGGAAGCGGATGGTAGTAGTAACTCCGACTAGCGACTTGAAACGGAGAAGGGAAGGCACACTACTGGATTAGGGTTTTCTCGCGATGCTAGGCGACGCAAAAAAGGCAGCGTTGCCTACTTGAAGATGGCGAGGTGGAAGCTGCCGTTAAGGATCTTCTGATCCGTCGTGCAGTTGGCGAGCTGCGCGCCAACACCGGCCGTCAGATTCCCGACGGCCGTCAGGTTCAGCGGAGGACCGCGCGGCCCGCCAGGCCCGCCGGGACCGTCGCGACCGCCGGGACCGCCGGGGCCGCCGGGTCCGCCGGGTCCGCCGGAACCGGCGCCAGGGCCTCCGCGCTGACCGCCGGGAGGACCTCCGCCAGGCGGACCACGCTGCGCCAAGGCGGACGTCGACACGAGGAGGAGCACGCAAGCGAAGACGAGCGCTCTGACTGCGGCCATGGCTACTAGTACTGTCGAGCTGCGATCGACGAAGTGGCGAAAGTTTGCTGCTGAACTAGCTGTGATGAACGAAATCACGTGCTCTAGATTCTGGTTGGGTGAGCGAAGAAAGTCGATGAAATGGAAGCTGATGGCGAGTGAGTGAAGTGAGAGGGGAGTCAATGGCTAGTTATAGGAGGGATCAATGCTAGGAGATATTGCGCTGGTCGAAGGGGCGAATGCGAGGCGAGTGAGTCAAAGCCGCGTGCACCCTGTTTTTGTTTCACGTTGAATGAAAATCGGCAAATCGTGCACTGATTGGTTAGTTGCAGAGGTTCGGAAAAAGCCGGACCATTTTTCGAGGCTCGGTTAGGGAGACACTGACCAGGTGTTGAAAATGTGAGACCAGAATCAACGCGTCTGTCAGTCAGCGCGAATCGAAGGCAAAGGCCTCCGGCTGCAACCTCTTGCACATTGGGGGATGCTGCAGTGAGGGATATAGTCAGCAGCTGTCTTTAAAAGCTAAGAAGTTCATCTGAAAGAATAGACTGACCAAAGAAGCTTCAACACTACACGCTCATGCAAACGGCAGACATACTTAACTGTATTAATTATTGAAAGTTAGATAATAATAACAATGTCAGGTGTAATAATAATGGTAGTAACAATGGAAATAAAGGAATGATGATAAAACACAGATTGGTATCAGGCTTGAAAACCAACTAAGGAAACAGGCAGTGTCAAATGTTATTATAGGTTCTTAGACTACAGTGAGTAGCACTCTAGGGAGTACAACACTTTTAGGATTGCTATTTGTATCCCTTGTTTCCCTAGTTCACACATTCCGTTGTTCGCTAACTTTGAGATGGTATCATGAGTAGGTGTCGATCCTCTCGCCTAGCCTAGCCTAGCTAGCGCCCTAGCGCCCTCCGCACCCTTGCGCCCTCCGCGCCCTCCACGCCCTCCGCGCCCTCCGCACCCTCCGCGCCCTCCGCGCCCTCCGCGCCCTCCGCGCCCTCCGCGCCCTCCGCGCCCTCCGCGCCCTTCGCGCCTTAGCCTCCGCGCCCTCCGCGCCATCTCCGCGCCTTAGCGCCCTCCTCCTCCGCGCGTTAGAGCCCTCAGCGCCCCTAGCCTGCGCCCCTAGCCCGTCGCCCAGGCGCCCGCCCTAGCCCGACGCCCAGGCGCCCGCCCTAGCCCGTCGCCCAGGCGCCCGCCCTAGCCCGTCGCCCAGGCGCCCGCCCTAGCCCGTCGCCCAGGCGCCCGCCCTAACCCGTCGCCCAGGCGCCCGCACCAGCCCGTCGCCCAGGCGCCCGCCCCAGCCCGTCGCCCAGGCGCCCGCCCCAACCCGTCGCCCAGGCGCCCGCCCTAGCCCGTCGCCCAGGCGCCCGCCCTAGCCCGTCGCCCAGGCCCGCGCCCTAGCCCGTCGCCCAGGCGCCCGCCCTAGCCCGTCGCCCAGGCGCCCGCCCTAGCCCGTCGCCCAGGCGCCCGCTTTAGCCCGTCGCCCCAGCCCGCGCCCTGGCCCGTCGCCCCAGCCCCGCAGGCAGCGCGCCGCGCGGGTAGCGCGCCCCGCAGGCGGCGCGCCCTGCGGGTAGCGCGCCCCGCAGGCAGCACACCCTGCAGGCAGCGCGCCCCGGAGCGCTTTAGCGCCAGAAAACAAATAAAAAAAAAATTAAACCCTAAAAAAAAAAAAAAAAAAAAAAAAGGGTTTCGGGTGGGGGCCTGCAACTGTCGGCCGCGTTCCTGCTTGCCGGACGACCTGCACAGTTGCCTGCATCCCGCAGCCGTCAGTACTGCAGCCCCTACTGTCGCACGTACGTTCCACTGCCAGTGGCTCTACTAGCGGCAGCCGACAGCCGCACCTACGGTCTCTAGCTCCGGCCGTTCCTACCTCCAGCCAGCCCTAGCTCGCCGTTTCTAGCTCCAGCCAGTTGTGCTCTAGCCGTTCTCGCTCCAGCCGTTCTCGCTCCTCGCTTGTAGCTCAGTTTGCTCCGTACTCCAGCCGTTCCTCGCCTAGTTTCACCTGTCGCTCCTAGCCTGCCGCTCCTGCACCCCGCTAGCTTTTATCATGGAGTCCACTAGGGTTCTCCAGCAGCAGGGACAGCAGCAGCGGCCGTTTCAGCAGTGGCTTCCGCAGCAGCAGGGGCGCCCTCAGCAGCTGTGGCGCCCTCAGCAGCCGTGGGGGCCTGGTGGTTCAGGTCGCGTTGGCTGCAGCAGCGGCCCAGCCAGCTGGGGGGCTCGTCGCGGTGGCCGCGACGTCGGCCCCTGCCAGTACCGGATCCTGACCGGCCCTGGCGCTGGCACTACCTGCTGGCGTCCTGACCACTCTGCAGAGCGCTGCTACAGCCGCCTCGACGACCTTTACCGTGAGCGTTTTGGGCCTGAGTCGGCTCCCCCGATCTGGCCCGGTCTGTTTCGTAGTGGTTACCCTGTGTTTGATATGTCTATGGATGCTGTTTATTCTGTCACGTACGGATCTCTTGGCTTACGTGTACCTAGCTTAGGACCTTTGCATGTTGCTAGTGTCGGTACTTGTGCTTTTAGTGTAGGTGCTTGTGTAGTCACTAGCCCGGCCGTGACGACTGCTGTTGCGTTGCTCTCCTTCACGCTGGACTCCGGCGCGTCTCAGTGCTTCTTCCGCGACCACACCACTGTCACACCTCTTTCGGCTCCAGTCCCAGTTGCCCTGGCTGATCCAGCAGTTGCTCGCAGCTCGACCACCCTCCCGTGCCCAGCTGTCCCCTCTGGTTTCCTCACTGGTCTCTACATCCCCTCGTTCTCTCGGAACTTGGTGGGTGTTGGATACCTTCAGGACCGGGGGATCACAGTCACTTTTCCTGCGCACGGGAGGACTGCGATCTGTACGGACTCTTCCACCGGGGCAGTTCTTGCCACGTTCACCAGAGAGCCCCACTCAGGTCTCTTCGTCCTGCACACTCCGCCCCCGCAGGTAGCTGCGTCTGGTCAGGTTGCTTCGTCCCCCCCGGTAGCAGAGTCCGGTCAGGTTA